GGCACAGGAGAGGATGACCTTCGATGAGATGGATAGATTCTGTGAATAGAGTGGTGGGAATGAGTGTGTTTGAGACAGCGAGGTTGGCATAGGACAGAGTCCTGTTTAGGGTTCTTGTACATAGGGTCGTTATGGCACATAACAACAACAACAACAAAGACATGCTCAGCATTCGTCAAGCTGAAAGAACTATAAAACAAATTGAAGCATTGCAATACTAAAGGATTCCATAGAAAATTATTGAATGATAAAGGTGAAAGGAATACACAGGGTCACTGTGCCAAAAAGAATTGATCAACACTGAAACACTGCAGAAAGTTATATATGAGCAAGAACCAATCATACTAAAGAAGTTCAGGCTTCCCCGAAGTTGCATTGCCAAATAATAAAGTCCAAGGAATTGATGGAATATCAACTGACGTGTTTCAGGAAACAGATGTAGCCCTGGGCGTGCTCACCAGTCTCTGCCAATGACTACAGAAGAGAGTCACCTGGCCAACTGACTTCAAGAGATCGACATATGTTCCCATCCCAAAAAAAGATGATGCAGCAGAATGTAGAAATTATTGAACAATATAATTACTGTCACAGGACAGTAAATTCTTGCTGAAAATTATCTAAAAATGACTGAATCAGTATATCAATGTGAACTGTTAGAAATTCAAGCTGGATTCAAGAGACTGAAGCAAGAGGGATACCATTGTTGATGTCAGATGGATCTTGACTGAAAGCATAGAATATCAGAAAGACATTTGCTTGTGTGTCATGGATTATACAGAGGCATTTGAGTGTGTGGAATATCACAAATTATGGCTCCTCTTGAGGTAATTGTTGTGTACCATTAAATCAGAACTGACCCATAGCTAACCTTCTAACAGGTTTTCAGAGGCAATAAATCAGATGGGAGGAGATTGACCAGCTTTCTCCCATGCATCAGTTGGTGGATTTGAACCAGATACCTTTAAGTTGGCAGCTCGATTCCTTACCACTAAGCCACTAGATTACCCATTAATAAGACTAGGAATCCACACCACTTAATTACACTCATACAAAATGTACACCTAGGTCAAGAAACTGTCATTCAAACAGAGTAAGGTAGAACTACATCATTTAAAAATTGGGAAAAGTGTGTTGCAGAATTGTATCTTTTCTCCATATCTGTTTAAGTTGTATGCTGAGCAAATCATATGAGGACCTAACTATATAAAGAATAATACATCAGGATAGGAGGAAGACTCATCAACAAACTGTCAACTATTTCATTTTATTGGGATCCACAATTGATAACTGTGGTAGAAGCAGTCAGGAAACAAAAGATGAGTTACACTGAGAAAATTTGACATCAAAGACCCTTTTAACATGCTAAAGATCAAGAATATCAGGTTTAAGAGTAAGGTGGGCCTGCTTTAAGCTATGATTTTTTTTTTCAATTGCTCCCTGTGCATCATAAGGTTGGACAATGAAAAAAAGATGACAGAAGAGGACT